GATTGCTGATTTGCAATTATGCTGTTACCATGAAGATAACTACACAATTGATCAAATGCAATTTTCTCCAAAACTTTCGCTATAACTGATAGTACTGAAATTGGTCTATAGTTACCACAACAGGACCTATCATCTTTCTTAAAGATTGGCGACAGCACCGCTATTTTTAGATCATCAGGAACAATTCCAGATACAATAGATTCGTTAAAATTTTTTGTTAGTGATCTACTGATTACTCCAGCCGCATCTTTAATTAATTTTGGTGGTATTTGGTCATAACCAGTCGATTTAGTTGGTTTAACATTGGAAAGATATTTATAAACTTCATTTTCAGTTACAGAGTGCAGCTTAAATTCAGTTTCACTCTGATCTATATAACTAGATGGCTATATATAGCTAGCTTTTTTGTATGCTTGGTGCATATTTAGAGACCCAGTCTTAACTGCTTTTTTCTTTAGATAATCTCTGTTCCTAATTTTTTTCATAATATCTTTCGTTAGCCAAGGTGTATATTCACTTCGTACTCTCCGAGTGATTGGTGGAGCATGCATATCAGCTACAAATAAAAACTTGTTTTTCCAATCCATATATATATAATTAATGTCATCAGACTGTTGATCAAAATCTATATGAAATATTTGTGATAAATCTGCAATAAAATTGTCTTTATTGTAGCCTTTGTATTGATATAATTCCATCATATCTTTTAATTTATCTGTATGTGATTGCATGCCTTGTTTAGACCAGTCACAATTAAAATCACCTATGCAAATCACTTCTACATTTTCTGCATCTATTTTTTCTAAAACGTTCTCATAATCGTCAAAAAGCTCAGCTTTTGAACTAGGTGGTCTATACCAGGCATTAACGAGAAAGGATTTTGCTTTAGGTTTCATGACTTCTACTGTGACCATCTCAAGGCTTTCTATCATTAACTCATTTCTTAGTTTATAGTTAATTGGGTTCCGTATGTAAAGTAATACCCCTCCTCCATGTCTATTTCTGTCTTTGCGTATAATTTCATAACCGTCAATCAAAACTTCATTGTTAGCTATAGTCTCATCCAACATTGTCTCGTTTAAGCAAATTATATCAAATTGTTTTTTTCTTAAAAATATTCGGAATTCATCAATGTGTTTAATAAGGCTTCTAATGTTTAAATGAGCTATTTTAAATCCCTTAACACTTTGTATTTCTTTTTGAATGCATTCATAATTTATTCTGGTTGAAGAATTTTGCATGCTATCTTGATTATTACGATTTTCTTCAAAACCGGAATACAACATGCTCTCACAGTTATTTTCTTTTAAATCTTGGTCAAAATTTAGCATGCCTTCATAGATTGTTTTCCCATCTGAAACAGAATGAAGCATGCTTTCCTGATTATCATGTTTCTCTGAATAAATTATACTGTTATCCTTAGAGCTATCCTTGGGGGTTTCTAGACATCAATTATTTATAAAATGAATAATGTTCTTGGCAAAGGCTGCAGTTCCCATTTTATTTAAATGCAGTCCATAATGATTTAAGTGTTTTGCACCTATATTATTATGTTTAATTAATCCCCAGTTTCTTTGTCTACAACAGTTTGCGAGAATTGTATTTACCTCTCTGATCTTTGGTACCAGGTCAATTTGATCTGTCCTTGTTATTATTTCTGATATGTTAATTCTTGTTGATGGATGCGTTTCCGAAATAGCTGTACATAAATTTATTATCTCGTTTGCGACATCACTTGATGATTTAGCCTTCAGATCATTTGTTCCAACATGAATGATTAGATCATCAGGTTTTTTCTTTAAGCATGGTTGTACATGGTGACTGATTGCTTCTACATTTGCACCACTGCAGGTTTCCAATCGAACTTTAGAGCCTCGGACAGATCTTTCCAGTCGCTGAACATCAATGTGCTTTGTCATTGAGTCACTTATTATGACCGTCGTTCTAGACTTCCTGTTTTTCCCGTTTACACGTTGACCAGACATTCCACTTGCTGTCTTTGACTTCTCAGGCTCAATAAATTCACTTGAAGATGCATCACTCTCTGAAGGTTTTGCCACTACATCGCTTAAAACGCTATACCGATTTCTTGTCTCCACGGCAGGCATTGGCTTACTAGCATAAACTAGACGAATATCGCCGTCAAACGTTTCCTTTTGACCGGTTGCTTTTGTATTACCAGCTTTAGTGTGATTGTTGGCCGCATTCTCAGGTATTTCTGTCTGTAGAATTTTTATGGCAGTTACAAGACTGAGCTTGTCATTTTCTGCCTCTTTTAACTTGGTATTTAGATCTGAAACGATATATGATAGATTGAACGACTTCTCTTGTAGCTCTCTATTTTCCATCACCAAACGTTCATTCTGGGATTTTAGAAATGTTATATATTCTGCTTGCCCTTTAATTGATAGCTCGGTCTCTTGCATCGTTTTGAATTCCGTTCGCATACCGATAATTCTTTCTTTTAATTCTGATTCGAGTTGGTTCATTCTTCTCTCGAGATCATGCAGAGCCGACGCATTGGTGTTACATGTATTTGATACAGGAGTCGTGGCTTGTCTATTATAACTCTTTACAGTATCATCACTGCTATCACTATCTGTACCATCACTAAGAAAACGCTCGTTGTTAATATTTTCAAGATGGCGCTGGCCTTCGCTTTCAACTTGGGTTTCCTCTTCGACATGAATTTCCTCGGGTTCGCTGGTCTGTCCACGTTTGCTTGCACGGGTTTCCATGTGTATATAAATTAGCTATATTCGCTATTAGCTATTCGAAGGCGCCGATCATATAAAAAAAGTTCGACAAATGCTTTGTGATGAGTTGATCGGGCATGTTGATGTGTGATGCGGGCATGTTGATGTGTGATGCAGGGTCGATGTGAGGTCGACGTGAGGTCGATGTAGGGTCGATGTAGTGTCGATGAATGGTCGATGAGTGGTCGATTTAGGGTCGATGAGAGGTCGATGTGGGGTCGATGAGCCAACTCATGAGCAGTCATTTTTAGACAACTAGTGCTAGCGGAGTCAGCTGCAAATTTTGTGGAGAACAATTTAGCGGTTACAATATACGTAGACACGAAAAAGAATACTGTCCACTACGCGAACAACAAAGAAACATGTCTCAAACGGACTCGGATAGCCAGGAAAGGGATTTCCAAGACGACATTTCGACAACTTCAACTTCTGGGTCTGAAAGTTTGATGACGACTGACAATGAGTCTGAAGAAGAAATGGACCCTTGGATACCGTTGATAGAAGAAGCAAAGCAAAGAGGTAATATAGCTTTTGAGGAAATGAAAGAAAGCCTTATAAACAGTGGTCTGGATGAGCAATTTGCTAAGGACAAAGCTTACTCTAATATTCTGCCTAAACTCCAGAAGCAACTGGAAAATATTTATATGGAGCGTCTCGTGTGGATGAAATGACTAAAGAAAGATCCGGTACATAAGAAAATAATGCAGACAAAAGATGCGCTTGCGGAAAATGATGATTTTGACCCAGGAGAAGCCATGGAAGCAGCTGTTTATAGGAGGAAATTTCTTATAAAAAGACTTTTAAAGGGTTACAATTTTGATGAGGAGAATGATGATGATGATGATGATTAAACTCGATTAATAGCATTGAAGTCAAGTACAGTATATTAGCATGTAAAAACATACCAGTATTAAGATGCACTATGTAAACTTCGAGTCATTCGATCAGTTGCTTTTAATTACCTGTCTTTTCTTCTCATTTTACATGGGTCGGCCGGGTACAAATCAAAATGGCTAAAACACACGAATACGAAATTGAATATATTTGTTGCAGTGGCTTCCACGAAAAATGTACACCCAGTCTTCGGGCCTAAATGGGTCTTATGAGCAGATGAGCATGTGCTCATGAGCAGGTATGAGCATGTGCTCATGAGCAGGTATGAGCATGTGCTCATACGCTTATTCAGGATGAGCAGATGAGCATGTGCTCATGAGCAATTATGAGCATGTGCTCATAAAAACGGGACGCAGGGACGTTTCTACGGGACGCCCGGGACTTACTTGCGGGATACTTTGAGAGGTGTCCCTATATGCGGGACGCACAGGAGTTTCTTACGGAACGCATTTTAACCTTTCCTTGCGTCCCATAAGATCGATAAGACACACGCATAAACTAACACACAGCTTAATATTTTAAACATCCTAATTCACACATAAACTAATACAGAAATATGTTTGTGATGTTACTCTGAGTGCATATCCACACCGGGCGAGCTTGAAAAATATGCCCGGCCACGGTGGGATTCGAACCTACGACCTTTGGAATACTAGCCCAATGCTCTTCCAACTGAGCTACACGGTCAGGACGGTTCGAGTAAGTGATATTTCGGAACAGTATCTAGTTCCTTCAATACCAATGTGTTCTTGTAATATGAATTTTTTCTGTGTTGGTGTTGTGTACTCAGGTGAATAATATGTTTGCGATGTTACTCTGATTGCATATCCAC